ACAAGTGGAGAAGAACAGAGTGCTTTTTCCCCAAAACACCAAGCAAGCACACATTAAACTTGCAGTTCCTTTACCTATGTTGCTCGCTAGTAGCAAAATTTGAAACTATGGATGTTTAATCAGTTCTCCTAGAACCAATATGAGCACTAGCATTCTTACTACAAGAACAGGCCTATGTACTTCACTCTCTAATACTACGTCTGTTCCATTATATATGGCAGTGTTGTGTTGCACGAGTAGAAAATTATGTCTTGACACAGGTTTTGACTTAACCTTTTAATTTGACTTAGGCACTATACTAGTGGTAGTAGAACAGAACATTAAAATAACACTTGAGAAGTCATTTTGATTAAAAAACATCACACCAGAGCTTAAACTCCAAATAGTTAAATAAATTTGAGTTCTTGAAAGTCAAGACGGTATGTTAAGCCGAAACAATGTCAAACATTTCACTAAAATTGGAAAATGTCATAAATTGGAATGGAGAGGGTATTTATGTGATATAATAATTTTTTTAACTTTGTCACATTAAATATGTCATAACATTTGTATGGCTATAAAAGCACAAAATTTACAAGCTTAAAGTTAAATTATTTCCAAATAAAAATTGACATTTTTTTTAAGGATTAATATGGAAATAGTGTAAATAAAATGGAACAAACGGAGTAAACCAAGAAATCATTAATTAGTTGACAAATTAATTCTCAAACGACCTCAACTCAGGGGCTCGTGAGGAATGACTAATTATGGACTTATATTAGTAATATTTAACTTGACCCTTAAATTGAAATTGAAATTGGAAGTTTGAATTATTAGAAGGATCACAATATTATTACGATAATCATCTCATGTTTGATGAAGTTGCTAGAAAACTGACTGCTAAAATACTAGTAATACTCAAAATGCAGATCATTAAACCCTTAAACTTCATAACTTTTACGAAATGTGAAGCAATTAAGAATTCATTTCTTGTAAAAGATCACACAAGTAACTCCGTAAAGTGGAGCTAAAGCTTTATTTGTGTAATGGAAAGTTACTACATAAGAGGGATTAGGGTTTTTATTTCACAAAGAGGAGAAAATGTAGGAAGAGTAAAAGGGAACTTACGACTCGATTTCGGAGGAGATCGCGGGGAGTTCGCCGGAGAAAATGTAGGAAGAGTAAAAGCGAAGGAGAGTGGACTTATTTGAAATAAATTGCAAAATTTAGGCCCTCAAAGTGAAATCCATAAAGCCTAGACTTTCCAATTTCCATCCAATCAATCAGCTTTACGATTTACATTTAATTTGTAGTACTTTTCTAGGGATGTTCATGTGGATTGAATATCTAAAATTCGAACCGATATGTTTAATTTGGAATTGTGTTTATTAAAATTTCGGATTTCGGATTAGATTTGGATTAGTATAATTTTAATACGATTCGAAATCCGAAATTATTATGGCATGTATAAATACTAAACTTTAATTTCGGATAGTTAGTGCTTCATTTACATTTTCCTCCAAGTTATTACCTTTACAATTGATGAATTTACCTATATTGGCACCATAGTATTTTCATAATTGCATAAACATGAATTTTTCTTACTGTATTGCCTCTTTTACAAAGAAAATATACATATGAGTTCGCAACTTTGAGGCATAATAATCCGATCCGAAATTCGAAAATCCGATCTGATCCAAACTTTAAAATCCGATCCGATGTGCTAAATCCGATCCGATCTGATCCGATCCATGCACAGCCCTAAGAGTAGCTTTTAAATGGAAAACTAACGGGAATGACCCACCAAAAGTACTTATCCGAAAATAATAGTACTACTTATTTGTCGGAAAATTGATTGTTTTTTGCCTTTTTTACCCTTAATAATAGTGGGTTCTTGAAGATGGAAATAACACATAAATAGAATAAATATTCAATGAATAGAGGTTACTTAAGACATAAATAAGGGTAGAATAGTCTAATCTCTTTCCTAATTAATATTTCTTAAGGAACGTATAAAAGAGAAATACGACGCAAAATATGAGATGGAAGGAATATTATAATTTATACTATAGAAAAATATTCACAAAGTACTCAGCAGCTATATTATATGTTTTAAATCTTCATGGCATATAATTCGCATGTTGTATATCTTAAGAGGTCGTTAGGTAGGGAAATAAGTTATTCCTGGATTATAATACGAGAATTAAATAATAACATGATTATTTAGTGCATATATTTTTATTGAAAGATGTTTGGTTTATCGGATTAAAAATGAGATATACAGGGTACAATATAAATACTATGTGTTTGGTGTATAGTGGATAAATTAAGATAAATTCTTAATTTTAATTTTAACCTTGGATTGTTTAAAAGACTTTGGGAGAAGAGCCTTGGAGAAGTATATCTTTGTCATGTTAGTATTTATCCTAGGATTACAACTCGAGATTATTATCTCACCCTTATTGTGAAATAGAATAATATTCAATTGTGGGACTAATTAATCCTGAGACTGCTAATCCCTGATTGAAAAATTCAATTAAACGCAGGGTAAAATAATTTCGTAATTAATCTCGGAATTATTGTCCTTTATTTCACATATCAAACGACCCCTAAAAGCCCGTTCAGTTGGGTGTACCAGGAGGATTAATCTGCTTACAAAACAAAATAGCTAATACTTTGTTTAGTTACCATTCTCCGCGTGTAATTCAACAACGCTATTATATTGTATGATTACCAATTCGCTTTTCTTCGTTAGTAATGCCAGCATAAATTATGCGAAAATATAGTCTATGATTTTAGATCTGTATTTAGTTTCTTTTGTTTCAAGTTACTTTAAAATCAATATAAAGCAAAAGATTTACTCAACACAAAATTTTCCTTTCAATAATTACCAGTACATAGTTTTATGATATTATGACTCCTTCAGGTAGCTGTCATTGAATTCCATATTGCATGATATTAAATTATTATATTTCATAATGATATTGAACTCCATAAATATAGTTTCTGTGAGAGTATATAAAGCTTTTTAAAGGAAAATATACAATGATAAAAAGAAAGTAGACTATAATAGCAAGCACCTCTAATTTTGTTTAAGAGATAAAAACATATATTAATTTATATTTTATATACTAATTTTAAATATTTAACATAACGAATAACGTCCATTATGAAATAATCGATGCATTAGAATCCTTGCATTACTAATTCCTACATTACTGTTTTTTTTTTTTTTTTGCATTACTAATCTCTATATTATATTGCAAACCAAAAGACCCCTTATAGTATATAATAATATTATTCAACTATTCTCTCGCCTCTCTACCTGTTAGGTAGGGGTAAGGTCTACGTACAGACTATCCTTTCCAGATCCCACCTGGTGGAAACATACTGAATTTGTTGTTGTTGTTGTTGTTGTATTCAACTATTCCTCTCGTTGTATATTGCAATTCAATTGTGTGAATTATATACCTCCGGGGTATACAACATACAAAATTGTACCGTGAAATTTTAATATGTCTTGTCTATGTGAAAGTCCCCTTTTAAGTATGCAAGTCTTATTTAAATGTAAAAAGGAATTGAAGTTAGAATTCACACAAAAAATTACAAACGATGAATATGATATTTCGTATTAATTTTTTCTTAAGGATTGAAGGAATATATTTTTCTGATAAGGTTTAATTAGAACGCGTTTAGCTTATACAAAAGTTGTTAAGAGTCCCGTTTGAATTGGCTTATTTTAAGTGCTTTTAAGCCCAAATCGCTTTTAAGCCATTTTGTAGTGTTTGAATAAAGTAAAAACGTGCTTTTAAGATAAAATGACAAAAATAAGTCAAAAGTTAGAATTCCTAACTTATGGCTTTTGACTTAAAAGTCGCTTGCAACAAGCCCATCCAAACGGGCTCTCATACCAATTGTTAGGCTAAGCCCACCCAAAAATACTCTTAACGTATGTGATATTTCCTCATTGGACCTAACATGCACAGTTTTCCCAAAAGGTCTCATACCATTTAAAAATATTCATACACCTTATATATAGTTTTTCAATCTTTTCAACAGTCAATGTGAAACTTTGTTCGCCGACCTAATACAACCAAGCAAACTAATATACTATCTTATGCAGAGATAGTAAGCAGATTTAAACTGAAGAAACCATTACTTCTAAGAAAAAATGAGCCTTGTAAGTGGTTCAGAAGCTTATAAACAGTGTATGAGTCATCCCCACATAAAACATTTTAGAAATTCAGTTGAGACCTTGATCATCAGTCACTCCTGGATTTCAACTATGAGCATGTTTGGATGTGCTTAAAAACTGGTTTTTGAAAGTGTTTGGCAACTAGACAAATGGCTTAAAAAAAGCTAAAATCTGCTTTAAAAAGCCAAAACCAACAAGTTGGGTAAACCCAACTTTTCTAAATTGGCTTAAAAGCCATATTGCTTTGACCAAAGATATTACATTCTTATCCCTTATAATTTTTCTTAATCTCGAAATTATCCCTTAGTACAAAACTTGAAATTGCTACTGTCTTTTTCCTCCCGAAATTGCAGCATCTATTTTCTTCATTTTACTTTTTTTCTTTCACATTCTTCTCCAGATTAACGGTTTGTTTGCTCCCATTTTTTGTATTTTTTACTAATTTTCTTTAAAATATTAATTATTATTTTTGTTTGCTTTCTTCGTACTGAAATTGTTCGTTTGCTTTCTTCATACTACTTTTAGTTTTATAAATTGAAAGTGAATTAAATTTTTAATTATTATGTATTTATATTATTAGAATAAAATATTATAGTAATAAGCATCTTTATAGGTTTGACAGCTTTAAGGATATTTCAGTAATTTTAACAGAAAAATGCTTACTAACACTTGTTTATCAAATACTTCAATAGCTTTTTCTCAGCTCCAGCACTTTTATCCAAACACGTAACTGCTTATTTATAAAACCAGCTCCAGCACTTAAAAGCTACTTTTTTTAAGCCAATCCAAACGGGCTCTATATATGGTTTACACTAAGTTCAGAATGTATCAGGAAAGGAACCTTATAATATAAAGAATGTCAAATGCTGAAAACAGAGGCTGCGTGCAGCACACAAAAGGTAGAGCACATAAAGGGAAAAGATACACGTCAAAAAAAGATCTAACACTCAAGCTATTGTTCTCGAAGATCTTACAAACAGACTGTCAACAACTTATCCCCATATTTGAAACGGTTTCCAACGGATCTAACACTCAAGCTATTATTCTCGAAGATCTTACAAACAGACTTTCAACAACCTTCCCCATATTTGAAACAGTCTCCAACGTAGCTGGAAAAATTGCATCTGGTTTAGGATCCTCAAAAATTATAAGGCATCCAGCACCCTGGTCCAGGGTCCCAGCGAATTTCTTATCCAAAATCATTTGAGATAACTTCTTCTCAACATGGTCACCAGGCAACTCTATCAACTCAGCAATATGAGCAATCTCAACTCTCGAGAAGGGCTCAATCAATCTACAAAGGTTCTGCTCAAGCAAAGTGTCATAGAGGGAAGACAGGTGCCGGTGGACGATAGGATCTTCATCTAGCTGAGCCTTAAAGTTCCGAAGAGCAGTCTCGAAGAGCTTCAAGGAGCGCTTGGAATGTGCATCCGCAACAGCTTTCATTGCATCGACTTCTGGCCCCTGATATTGCAATCCAACCTTTGGGGATGATATTATTCCTGCAACATCATCAGACTGGTTGACCATGATTTTGCAAAGCAACATATACTTGAGGCTGTATATGGCCTGGGGATCTTCAAGGGCATTGAATGCTTCAAATGCTTCATAGAAATAGCTGTAACCAGTTTTATAATCCTTCTCTTCCGCATGAAGGATCCCGCTCTGCAAATCAATAGAACCTTGCTGAGCTGGAGGCACATAAATAGCATTGGCTGCTGTTCGAGCAGCTGTGAGCGCAGCCTTGGCTTTGGGAAGATTTCTCAGCGAGAAATGTAGCTTGCTCTCCAGCAAGTCAATCTCCACAAGAAGCAGCTTATCATCCAATCTTCTCACCTCCTTAATCAGTCCTGAAAGGAGGGTCAATGCTTCAGAGTATTCCTTGTTTTCCATCAAAAGAGCTGCGAGTCTTGCCTCAATTCGTTGACGAAGAAATGTCCGCTTCTCCTTACGGGTCCACTCCACTATATCCTTGCAAAGTGTAACCTGAAGGTCAGATGTACCTGGTATTTTAGCCACTGCATCAATGATTCCTCGAACAATTTTTGCAGTTTTTGCCTTGGGGATCAAAGAAAAGAAGGGGCGCAACTGGGTCAGAAGGTTTTTAAGTTCCTCTGCCCTATTCTCCTGTCTAAGGAGGTCAGAGAGATTGGAGATTGCCTGCTCTTTGATCCTTAGGGCCTCAGAAGCAGAAGATGGGTTATCAAGGATGCGGTAAAGAATAGAGATGGCGTTAGATGGTGATGTAGCCTCAGAAGCCTGAGCTAGAGAATCAGTAGTGGCTGGGAGATATGAAGATGACATGGTCACAGCTTGCAGATTTTAACTCCTGCAGTTTAAGCAAAAGAAATTAGTATTCCTTATCAAGGAAAACAAATACACTGGGAAAAAAAGTACGTGCAGCAGAATGAGATACTTGGCCTTATAGTCTGTACCTACCTCCTACGATGAAATTAGTGGCTTACAAGATGTGAAGCTTTTAAATATTGGATTAAGACAGATTTACATGAAGCGATATGGATAGTGAGGATTCATATAGCCGTTCCCGACTTTCTTGGGATTGAGGCATAGTTGTTGTTTGTTGTACAAGATGTGATGCACTAAAATGAGAACGAACTGCGAAAGCTATATGCAGCTAAATGGGCGCAGAAAGCAACACCAATCCAATAACTAAACATTTGCAAAAGAGTACTACATTGAACTGAAAAAGCTATATGCAGCTACTTTGGTATAGAAAGCAACACCAACAATAACTAAACATTTGCAAAAGAGCACTACATCAGGACTACAGAGACCATCTTTCTGCCAATATAAGAATAACAGTTCTTAGTACGATTAAAAACCACTAAGTACTTAAAAAAGTAGGAGTACCTCTTACTATAACAAAGTCAATTTATCTTTTACTTATCCAAAAAAAAAATCAAGAAGCCAAGTATGACGAAAATGATAAGAAATACTATGTTCAGTTCGAAAAGGGCTTATAAGACAAATATTTTATCCAGATCTCCAATTTTTTTGCCCCAGCTCAGCTCCCCTCTTAAAAGTCTAGAATCAAATTTGGACTTTGCTATATATGTCTTCCAAGATAGTGCTCCTCGTATTCCCATTTCAAGAAACAACAAGAACGATTACTCACCTACACATCCACACACACACACCCCTCCCCCGCCCAAAAAAGAAAGCAAACCCAGCTAAATTATTAAAATTTACCATATTTATGGTCTAATAATACTTTAATCACATCCAAAACAATCCATGTTTTCTGAGAATAAGCAGCCAAGTTATTCAGTCTAAGATAATCTCAATTAACAAGCCGCTCTTTTTCCTTTTCTATTTTTAAAAGCATAAATGAGAAGGGATCAAGAAGCAAACTAATACATGACTAAACTAAAAATAATTTAGGTAATTCACTGTTGAAGTTAAAAAAAACCATGGTCTGCTTCAACTTAGAGGAGCCTTCACAGGAACCAGTGCACATGCAGAGTGTGTCATATGATTCAAGGACAAAGGCTGATTGAATCATGACAAGACCCCAAATACCGTAGCGAAAGCAGCTCATTTATTTGAATTAAAGCAGGAACATTGAAAATTCAGATGTCAGCAACAAGAAACCTTGAATTCTGACAAAATCAGAATGGATTCTTTTAAATTCAAAATGATAACAAAGCACTCAAAATTTTAAAAGCTCCAGCACCATCACATCAAAAGAAGAGCCAAAACAACCAACATCATCATCATTATTGGTGTATTGTTCAAATGGCTCTCTTCATATATACACATTGACGCATTACGACCAGAAAGCATGAAAAACAAAATAATTGGACCAGTGACCAACTATTGACTAGTATAGCCAGTCTGCCAATGTCCACCTGACACATTTTTTTAGTTAAAGATGTCTACTAGATGCAGTGGAGGATTAGAGCAGATATCCACAGGCAAACTAAAATAAACTGCTCTTGTTCTAACTTTAACTGTCTTATTTAATTTTACATTTCTTATGGGATTTTACTGGGTCGTTGTTGTTGTTATTTTTCTATTCATTAGAAGTGCTTCTACTGCTCTTCAGAAACCACAAAGACTTGAGCGTTGGAGTGGGCAGAGCAAGCTGGTCAAGTAACACATTGTTGGCAAATTAGAGTAAACTAATTGCGAAACATTGAGATTCAACTAAATCCTACTTTTATTGAAACAAGCACAATAAATTGACTATGCATCAATTCCAAACTAGTTGGAGTTCGACATATGGATACTCTATTCCATTTCTACTCTACTCGAGACCATTTCATATTTGTTGAGACAAGAACAACTGACAGAAATTGTCAGTTTTACAATCATATTCCTTTTATATTTTCTTATGCCAAAATTCCTTACTGACAGCTAAGGGCATGCAATCCTCAACACAAGCCCCTGGGTTGCCAATTTAAGCCAACTCACATTTCTGCACAAATACACAGCATATGAATATCTAATGATGGACAAAACACAGATCATGGTAAGATCCAATATTGTACATACAAAAGATACAGTATAGATCGGGCATATTGAAGCATTCAAATGCTGCAATACATTGAACTCAGGTACTTTGAACAAAATTTAAGAAAGTCAAGTTCGGAAAAAAATCAATTATGCCATCAGAAACTGCAGTTCAAAACTATGAAGCTTCAAGAAAAAAGATGGGCACCGAACTCATGACATTCTTAGAAATAAACCCATTCACTAACTAAACCTCCAACAAGTTTCAAAACTCTCAAAATTCGTGTGACCCATCAAGGAGCGTCAAGTAACCTTAGCCGCCTGTTTGGTTCAGAACATTTTTGGGCAAAAGGAACACTTGCAGTAACTTAACAAACAGCAATATTGGTAAACAAAAGTGTGCATTATTAGCGGCACAGTAACAAAGTTCTCTACTATGCTAACCCTAACTCAATTACCCACGTGGAAAACTGATTTAGACTTGACGAATATTCTTAATTAGCTATTTCAAAATTTCCCAGATTTGGGGATAGTTAGAAATTGAAAGCCAGCGTTGGAACAATTTTGGGGATTTGGTATATGCCATGAAGTTCATACATCCATCCAAGTGCTGAAAACCCACAATATAGTGGTAAGTACTCGCCTTGCAGTACTCGGATACTAATACTCAAAACCAGATTAGTCACAAATTCGGAACTTTATTAGTTTTTAAATGAAAATCAGAAAAAAGAATTGCATATTAACCTGAGAAATTCAATAATTATTCAATCAACCACACCTCAATCCTAAATCAGTTAAGATTCAGCCCAGTTCATTCCAAGACCAAATAATTTGTCTTTTAAAATCAAAAAACAAATTGTGATTTTTAAATCTCACAATTTTCAAAATCAGATAAGGTGTATAAAAATTGGATTTAACGCTTTAACTGCAGATTGGGATCAAATCACTGCAACTCAAATAAAAAAAATGCATTTTTTCCAGTAATAATAACTGGGAAAACGGGTTAGGGTTTTGTGCCATGAAAGACGAACAGGAGAAGCGCAAAATAAAGAGGGAAACCTACAAATTAATTTCACGGGAGAAACAGATCGGAAGGAGCTCGCGGTAGAAAGGAGATGATTGCAGCTGAGTCTGAGTGAAAGAAGCGTCAAGTTACTGTTGGCGTAGTTCGGCAATTGGTGAAGTTCTAAACTTTTCCAACAAGAAATTGGGTCTATTTTCCCACCGAGGCAAAGTAAACAAATAACGCAGTTATTGGTAGGAGAGCTTTCTTTTAAACGGGTTGTACCAAATGCAAATCCAAATTAATTAAGTCATATATTTGGAATATTAAATGGTTAAGTGAAAAAATCTAAAATTACCCAATCTAGTTCCTTTACTAATCAATTTGATACAAATTAGCAAGTTTTTAACTCAAAATAGTTTCCTATTAATGAGTAGTCAAAAAAAAGAGTTAAATTACGCTTCTCCTTCCTGTTTTTTTTTTTTTTTTTTTTTTTTTTTTTTTTGTATGATTGCAATAACGAGTCTTGTTCCGTGCGTATACTCAATCTCCGTGAATACAAGACTTTAAAAGATCAGATAACTATTATATTAAAAGTATTGTTTGAGTTATATATAGATTAAAAATTAAAGTGTAAGTTCTTGAAAGTAATAATAGTTAATCCTATTTTAACTAACTCAATAAAGGAAGAAAATCAATTTCATAGAGGTTCTTCATCATTTCAATAGATTTATTCAACTTAAAAGCGTTGACACGGATAAATATTTTTAATAATTTTAGATAAACCTCCAATTTGTATAAACGTTTATTTTTCTTGGAGGCTTAATTTCTTGAACAACAAATTCCTCTTTTTTTTTTTTTCTTTTGACAAATAATTTTGACTTTATCCATAATTTTTTGTGAGAAAAGACATAGCACAATGAGAATTAAAATGCACAAAGTTGTGGACATAGATTAAGAGAGAAACATTAAAAAGATAAAACCCTACTAATAATATACAAATTGTAATTGTTGCGTGTTGATTTTTGTATCAAATTTGATTAGAACATATCTTATTTGGAACAGTAAAACTTTAATAATTTTGAAGTCTTTAGTAGTAGCATTTAATTTGTATATAGTTTAAATTAAATAAGAAAATATTTAATAATTAAAATTATAATTAAATTATTATGAAAATAAATAAATGACTATTTCGTTTAGTGTGAACTCTATTTTAAAAGGGTAAAAAGGCGAATAATATTTTGCTAAGGGTCTTAATGCTTTTAATATAGTATACCAGATTTAGTGTACGTGCGTTGCACGTATTATTTTTGTGTGTATTAGTAAAAATTGTATAAAAATTAGAATAAGAATGATTTAAGTGATAGCATGTGACGACCCAATAGGTCGTTGTGAAGACTAGTCTTAATTTCCGTATTTCGAGACTTTTCATAGCTTTATTTGATTTTTTTGATTTGTGTGCGTGGTCCGTGTCGTTTTCCGAAAAGTTTTTACGTAAAACTTTTAAGGAAATGAGATTTTTTACTTACATATATTTGTGGTAAATGACCTCGGTTTGGTGTTTTGACGATTCCGATAGGTTCGTATGATATTTTTGGACTTGTACGCACACTTGGTTGGTGCCCAAGTAACCCGAGGGCGTTTCAGTGCATGATGTGAAAGATTGTGAAAAATGAGTTTTCAAGTTGAAATCTTGAGTTTTGATGATCAATTCTTATTATTTGATGTTATTTTGAAGATTTGGGGTAGTTACAGGTTTGTATGATATTGTTACACTTGTGTGTATGTTCGGTTTGGAGCCCGAGGGGCTCTGATGAGTTTCGGATGCATTGCAGAATGATTTGGAACTTCTGAAGCTATGCAATTGCTGGTGTGAAGTTGCAGGTCTCGTATTTGCGAGAACCTGATCGCAATTGCCAATATGGGCTCGGGGCTTGCATTTCGCATTTGCTAAGTAGAGTTCGCTTTTGCGAACTAGGGTGGGATCACATTTGCGATCTCAGTGTCGCATTTGCGACACAGTGGTTGGTGAGAACAGCTTCGCATTTGCGATGGCTGGGGACTTCGCAAATGCAAGGTATATGTCGCATTTGCGACTTCTGGGGGCCTAATGTACTGATCGCAATGATCAATGTGTCGCATTTGCGACATCTACAGCTAGGTAAAAAACTAAAAAAATTGGGACTTAGCGAATTTATACCACTTTTCAACCCTAAGCGCTCTAGAGGCAAATTTTGAAGAACTTTTTCTTCTCAAATTCATTGGTAAGCATCTTAAACTAGCTTTCAATCAATTTTAATTACTTTTCATGAATTTTTAACATCAAATCTAAGAATTTCATGGTAGAAAATAGGGGTTTTGGGTAGAATTTAGGGATTTTATAAAATTGATATTTTGACCTCAAATTAAGGTCGAATTTCGAAATAAATCACATATTCGGGCTCAGGGGTGAATGATAAATTGAGATTTGGTCCGAGTCTTAGATTTTGACCAAGCGGGCCCGGGGTTAACTTTTGTTGACTTTTTTTATTTCATTAAAGATTGAACCTTTTTCGATCATGGGTAGTTTCTAAAGCTTGATTTGGATTGTTTGAATGATATTTAGCTAGACTTGGTTGGTTTGGAGGCTTGTTCTAAAGGTACAATCGTGATTGATTGTGGACTTGATTCCGGAAAGAGGTAAGTATCGTGTTTAACTTTGACTTGAGGGAATTAGGACTTGTTGGTCTAATTACTACTTGAACTAAGTATGGGGACGACGTATATGCGAGGTGACGAGTGTATATGCATTGTCATGGGTTAAAGCATCCGGGTTGGGCTATTTACCTTTATGTCGTCATTTATTCCATGTAATATCTCGTTACATGCTTTGATTGCTACATGTCCTTACTTGTTATTCCTGCCTTACTTGTTATCTGTCATTTAGTTGTTACCTGTTTCGTTTTATTCATTCCTCGATCAATATCTATTTACCTGCTATATGTTCCTACATATATTAACTATATATCTTCATTGATTCTTGTCCCTACATGCCTTTATTGTCTTTGCCTTATTTGTTGCACTTTATTATGCTATATCCGATTGTGTGAGTCTTTTGGCTATTCTCGCGTTAATAATTTGTTGAGGTTTGTGAATATGAGATATCGATTGTTCTCTGTTGTGCTAGCAGTTCCATAGTGTTTTACCTTTTGTGTTGAGATTATGGAATTTGGTTGTGTTGGGTTGTTCATATTAATGAGTTAATATTGAGAATGGGTTGTGCGTCGCAATAATATTAAAATTAATTGATAATGGGAATGTATTGCATGCCGTAACAGATATTTATATGATATTGAAATCGGGTTACACACCTCAACAGATATTATGTAAGTATTGAAATCAGGTTGCGGGCTGCAACGGAGTACGATGTGTTATAATGTTTGTAGCTGTAATGTTCTATTTCAGTATTATGATATTGAAATGATATTATTCTGGGGGCCTCTTTTAGTTGACCTTCGGGTCCTATTCTTATGAGTTTATCAGTTTTACTCTATATTCTATTGCCTTTTATTTATTACTCGTACATGTTTATCATGAGTGTCTTGTCATAGCCTCGTCACTACTTCGTCGAGGTTAGGCTCGACACGTACATAGTACATGGGGTCGGTTGTACTCATACTACATTTATGCACTCCTTGTGAAGATCCCGATGTTGGTCCTAGCGGCGCGTAGAGGATCTTGCTCGGATTCGACTTATGCAGGAGACTTGAGGTAGAGCTGCACGAAGTTCGTAGTCCTTGAAGTCCCCTTGTTTCCTGTTTTACTGTTTGTCTAGTTTCAGACAGTTGTAGCTTATTTTGGACCATATTTGTAGTATACTAGTCGCTCATGTACTTGTGACTCCGTATTTGTTGTGATTAGCATAGACTACATACTTATGTATATATCATATTTATTTTAGGGTAGTTTAGTCGTTAATTTACATTATTCTTTTTTAAATTGTTAAAATTGATTAACTCTTTAACTTACGTTGGCTTGCCTAGCAAGTGGATGTTGGTTGAAATTTTGGGTCGTAACGAGTTGGTATCAAAGCGCTAGGTTTCCTAGATCTCACGAGTCATGAAAAATCTTAGTAAAGTCTTAAGGATCGGTATAGATACGTATGTGCTATCTTCTAGAGGCTATAAAGATTTAGGAAAATTTCACTTCTTTCTTTCTCTATCGTACGACTTTATTCTATCATTCAGTTTGAATCATTCTATTATTGTTCTCTCACAGATGGTGAGGACATGCACAACATCCACAGCCGATCAGGAGTCGGAGCCCCAGGTTGAAGCCACTAACAAGGGTAGGGGCCGGGGCCGAGGGAGAGCTAGAGGCAAAGGCAGAGCTCAACCTAAAGCACGCGCAACATCACCTATAGTAGAGCCTCATATCAAGTAGGAGGAAGAGATCCCTGTTCAGACAGCGCCAGTTGGACCAGCTAAGGTCCTAGATGGGTTCATTGCCACGCTAGTACTTCAGGACGCCCTAGTCTACCTAATGGGCTTTATGGACAATGTGGCCCAGGCCGACGCGTTCCCTGTAGAATCAGCCATCTGTCAGGATGGGGGAGGATCCCAGATTACCACTACTCAAACTCTAGAACAGGTGACTCACGGATACTAGACTCTAGCAGTTCCAGTAGTTGGAGCAGTTCAGCCTGTTATTGCTACCCAATCTAGGAAGGGTCCCGTTA